GTTGGTTGGTGGGTGGGTTGGTTGGTTGGTTGGTAGCTAGATGGATAGTTACATAGATAGACAGATAGACAGACAGATAGATAGACAAATAGATGTGTATACACAATCACATTTACAGCTACTACAGTGAACCCGAGAAAGTTGGAACATGGGTTTAGGATGACTCGTGCTGGAATTCCTTCTACTTTATCTTCAGGGCATGAGGATAATAAGGTTCCAACGTTCTGGCTTCTCCTTTACATGTACAGAAACTTAATATCAGTACATACGGCTATATCGTCGTGCAACTCTGCATAGACACCTGTTTATTCATGTTAGTATTTCTTTCTGCAAGTAAGAGCCATTTTCGGCCCTCCAGTGAGTTGGGCCCCTGCAGCCCGAGTTCTTTGCGTCTGTCGGACCATGGGCCAAAGGAAATCAATTGCTCATGCTCAGCTCTCGCATGCTAAAGGTTTGTGCCTTAAGGTCTAGGTTTAGGGCTTTAGGCATTCAGGGTCTTGAGGGGTTTTAAGGAGTTTTAAACGGGTTTCAGGGACTTTGGGGCTTCAGCCTCTGAGGTTCAAGGGTCCACGGATCCATTCGGGCGCTAGAGGTTCGACCTTTGCCAAAGGATTTTCTGCTTTTCTGGCTGTGATGACACCCCGCAGCACTGTCTGTCCCCTGCTTTGTCAATGCGACTTCGGTCATGACTTGGGGCAGGCAGAGAGTGACTTGGGCTGTGAAGGGTGTCAGAAATGCTTGCCTTCATGTTCAGTGTCGATTGAAAAATTCTGGAGCCAAGGAAGACATCGTATGGCTTGGGCGTCTGTCAAGGGCAGGAATCCAGCTTCAAGGGCACATCAGGACTGCTCGCACAGAATTCACGCGGGCCCTCCTTTTCCATATCCGCCATTGCTCAGTTGGAATATCGTATCAACTCAGTGGAAGAGACACTCTAGGCTCCGGAGAATTCCGCCGGAAGCGTACCTGGCTCAAACCCTGATCATGGCAAGCACGTCGCCAATGCGGCCAAGAAATGCACCCGCTGTATGATCCAGAACCTGTATTTCTGTTCTTCTGGTGTCTGAAGTAAAGCGTAAACGCGACAAGGCCGGCTGATGGCCATCGGTGGCAGCTGGTAGGTGCCCGTGCCGACCCCCTGGCAGGAGAGCAGGACACAGCTTCTCAAGCAACTTCGTCTGTTGGAGGAACACAAACCCCGCATTTGGACTTGAGGACCATCACCTGGGTCCAGGGGTTGGGGACATCTGCTTGGAAGCGTTCGCAGCAAGTACTTCGGTTCTCTTGCCCCGTCAGCGTCATGGGAGACTGGAGCCAACAAGTCCACGCAGCAAAGGGAGCCTGGCAGCTAAGCTCCACTTTCTCAAGAGTCGTCAGGTTCCGCGCATAGGCAAACTTCAAGGTTGCTCCGTCCTGGGCACGCCGCGGTAAACCTTGCTCCCATCTTGGGCCGTCGTGAACGGCTACTGCTCAACTGAGTATTCTCAGTAGGGCCCTGCCCAGTGACGAGAACAGTTGCAGGTAGATGCAAGAGTACGACACGTAACTTCCAATATACCTCACCCCCGGTCCTGGATGCCACACTGCGCGAGCTGCTTCCTGGTGGATAAAAAGCAAGTGTTGACATAATCTGCCTCTCCAATCTCAACACTGCGAACATCAAGGCCTGAGCAAAATAAGCGCCAAACCCTAAACCCGAAAGAAACCGCCCTGTCCTGTTCTCAAAGTAATCCTTGGAACCTTTCTCGGACAGGAGGGCTTCATTCGCCCAGTCCTGACTCGAGGGTCAAAAGGCCAGAAATTTGTGCTTCGAGCTTTTGAGTTCAGAGCGACAAATGGAGGTTGTAGAAGAAAGAACAAGAAGTAGTAGTAGTAGTAGTAGTAGTAGTAGTAGTAGTAGTCTTCGTCGTAGCTGTAGTAGCAGTACTACTGGTAAGTAGTAGCTGTAGTAGCGTTGGCAGCAGCACTAGCAGCCGCAGCAGCAGCAGC